AAATCATCCCAGCCAGGGCTTTGTCAAGCCTGACCTTAAAAACCTCCAAGGAAGGAGATTCCACCACCTCCCTAGGTAACGCATTCCAGTGCTTCACCACCCTCCTCGTGAAAAAGTTTTTCCTAATATCCAACCTAGACCTGCCCCACTGCAACTGGAGACCATTACTCCTTGTTCTGTCATCAGGTACCACTGAGAACTGTCTAGATCCATCCTCTTTGGAACCCCCTTTCAGGTAGTTGAAGGCTGCTATCAAATCCCCCCTCATTCTTCTCTTCTGCAGACTAAACAATCCCAGTTCCCGCAGCCTCTCCTCGTAAGTCATGTGCTCCAGACCCCTAATCATTTTTTTTGCCCTCCGCTGGACTCTTTCCAATTTTTCCACATCCTTCTTTTAGTGTGGGGCCCAAAACTGGATACAGTACTCCAGATGAGGCCTCACCAATGTCGAATAGAGGGGAAGGATCACGTCCCTCGATCTGCTGGCAATGCCCCTACTTATACAGCCCAAAATGCCGTTAGCCTTCTTGACAACAAGGGCACACTGTTCACTCATATCCAGCTTCTTGTCCACTGTGACCCCTAGGTCCTTTTCTGCAGAACTGCTGCCTAGCCATTCGGTCCCTAGTCTGTAACAGTGAATGGGATTCTTCCGTCCTTAGTGCAGGACTCTGCACTTGTCCTTGTTGAACCTCATCATATTTCTTTTGGCCCAATCCTCTAATTTGTCTAGGTCCCTCTGTATCCTATCCCTACCCTCCAGCATATCTACCACTCCTCCTAGTTTAGTGTCATCTGCAAACTTGCTGAGAGTGCAGTCCACGCCATCCTCCAGATCGTTAATGAAGATATTGAACAAAACCAGGCCCAGGATCGACCCCTGGGGCACTCTGCTTGAAACTGGCTGCCAACTAGACATGGAGACATTGATCACCACCCATTGAGCCTGATGATCTAGCCTGCTTTCTATCCACCTTACAGTCCATTCATCCAGCCCATACTTCTTTAACTTGCTGGCAAGAATACTGTGGGAGACTGTATCAAAAGCTTTGCTAAAGTCAAGGAATAACACATCCACTGCTTTCCCTTCATCCACAGACCCAGTTATCTCCTCATAGAAGGCAATTAGGTTAGTCAGGCACGACTTGCCCTTGGTGAATCCATGCTGACTGTTCCTGATCACTTTCCTCTCCTCTAAGTGCTTCAGAATTGATTCCTCGAGGACCTGCTCCAGGATTTTTCCAGGGACTGACGTGAGGCTGACTGGCCTGTAGTTCCCCGGATCCTCCTCCTTCCCTTTTTTAAATATGGGCACTACATTAGCCTTTTCCCAGTCGTCCGGGACCTCCCCGATTGCCATGAGTTTTGAAAAATATTGGCCAATGGCTCTGCAATCACATCCGCCAACTCCTTTAGCACCTTCGGATGCAGCGCATCCGGCCCCATGGACTTGTGTTCGTCCAGTTTTTCTAAATAGTCTCAAACCACTTCTTTCTCCACAGAGGGCTGGTCACCTTCTCCCCATACTGTGCTGCCCAGTGCAGCAGTCTGGGAGCTGACCTTGTTTGTGAAGACAGAGGCAAAAAAAGCATTGAGTACATTAGCTTTTCCACATCCTCTGTCACTAGGTTGCCTCTCTCATTCATTAAGGGGCCCACACTTTCGTTGACTTTCTTCTTCTTGCTAACATACCTGTAGAAACCCTTCTTGTTACTCTTAACATCTCTTGCTAGCTGCAACTTCAAGTGTGATTTGGCCTTCCTGATTTCATTCCTGCATGCCTGAGCAATATTTTTATACTCCTCCCTGGTCATTTGTCCAATCTTCCACTTCTTGTAAGCTTCTTTTTTGCGTTTAAGATCAGCAAGGATTTGACTGTTAAGCCAAGCTGGTCACCTGCCATATTTACTATTCTTTCTACACATCGGGATGGTTTTTTCCTGCAACCTCAATAAGGATTCTTTAAAATACAGCCAGCTCTCCTGGACTCCTTTCCCCCTCATGTTATTCTCCCAGGGGATCCTGCCCATCAGTTCCCTGAGGGAGTCAAAGTCTGCTTTTCTGAAGTCCAGGGTCCGTATTCTGCTGTTCTCCTTTCTTCCTTGTTTCAGGATCCTGAGATACACGCCAGCCTCGGCTCACTCTTCGCGGCAGGGAGACTGTTTTCTGTTCTGCGTCTGTACAGCGCCTGGCACAATGGGGCCAGATTTGGGGGGGCTATGGCAATACAGATAACAACACTCAGTAATACTAAGCCCTTCGTGAACATTGGGGGCCTTCATATTCATCAAAGCCATAGGGAGTGGAGTCTGTAGGGGGCACTCTTCCCTCACTGTCAATGCTGACCGCAATCCCCCAGCGCGATCCTAGGGGGCGCTCTTCCCTCAGAATTATATGAAGGATTGTGCTGTCAGAGTCCGTTTAATGTTTCCAGCTGCGTATTAAGCAAAGTCTCTATCGTATCTACCCATCCATCTCTCTCTTCTGATTAGCTAAGTGTTTAAAAACCTGCTGGGAAATGACTCCGAATATCCTCCACATTTAGAGGAAGCATAAAATGGGTGAATAACATAGGGGGCCTCCATATTCATTGAAGCCATAGGGAGGGGGGGGGATCCATAGGGGGCGCTCTTCCCTCGCAGTGAGTGCTGACTGCAATCCCCCAGCGCAATCCTAGGGGGCGCTCTTCCCTCAGAGTTATATGAAGGATTGTGCTGTAAGAGTCCATTTAATGTTTTCAGCTGCTGTGACAAAGCTCCCAGCCTGTATTGGTGGGTCCCTCACTTCCAGGTGGATTCAGTGGTCTCAGAAGCTCGCTAAGGCCCTCAACATGAGCTCCCTTTCCCAGTTTAGCGGCAAAGGTCACCACTTATTGAGCTACTTTCATCACAGGCCAACATGGGAGGTGGGAAGGTGGAATACTCACAGTCTCTGTTGCTCCTTAGAGCTCAGAAGGGGCCGTTTGGCCTCCTGCCTGGGCCAAGGTCTACTTCCCCTCTCAAAGGGATCTCTGTAGAGTATGGTGGGAAGGGGGGAACCTGGGCCTGCCCTCTACTCCGGGCTCCGGCCCAGGGACCCCAATGGTAGCAGCTGTTGGCGGCTTTCCCTTCACCACTGACGCTGCTTATTCCTTGGGCCACTTCCCCTTGCATTTTTTCCTTGTTCCGCTGCATCCATTGCAGAGGGGCCTGATCAGTCAGAAGGACAAACTGACTCCCTAGCAGGTAGTATCACAATGTTTCCAGGGCCCACTTAACGGTGAGGCATTCCCTCTCGACCACTGCATATTTCTGTTCCCTTGGGAGGAGTTTCCTACTAAGGTAGAGGATTGGGTGTTGTTCTCCGACCATCTGGGATCGTACAGCCCCTAGTCCTACTTCACTGCTTATTAAGCAAAGTCTCCATCGTATCTACCCATCTGTCTCTCTCTTCTCATTAGCTAAGTGTCTAAAAACCTGCTGGCAAGCTCCGAATAGAAACAGTGATTTGTTCCATCGGGAAATGACTCCGAATATCCTCCACATTTGGAAGAAGCAGAAATGGGTGAATAATATTCTTCCAGCAGGGCTGGCTCCAGCTTGTTTGCTGCCCCAAGCAGCGAAGCAAAAAAAAAAATTTTTTTTTAAAAGATAAAGCCGCGATCGGCGATACTTCGGCGGCAGCTCTACTGCGCTGCTTCATTCTTCGGTGGCAATTCAGCGGCGGGTCCTTCCCTCCGAGAGGGACTGAGGGACCCACCGCCGAATTGCCACCGAAGACCTGGACGTGCTGCCCCTCTCCATTGGCCGCCCCAAGCACCTGCTTCCTTCGCTGGTGCCTGGAGCCGGCCCTGTCTCCCAGTGACCTTTCAGCTGAGCCCTTGCTGAAATGCTTTCCAGGGGCAGGGCCTGCTTGAAGGAAGCTCCCGCGGTACCTGGCAGCCGCTGAAGATATTCGCTGGGTTTACCCAGGGTGGAGAGCCCCTCCTGCCCATACCTCCCTAGTCACGCGCTGGCTCTGCTGTGTTCTCTCCGACAGGCACTTCCCGGTGCCAGCCTGGCTGGGAGCAGTACCGAGGGAGGTGCTACTTTTTCTCCACGACTGCCCAGCACTGGCAGGCAGCCAGAAGCTTCTGTTTGAGCCAGACTGCCGACCTGGTGGTGATCAACGATCAAAGAGAGCAGGTACGACCCACCGACCCCCCCGCCTCCATTGGGTAAAATGCACCCATGCAGAGGGTCACCACGAGGCCTAGCTTATGCTCCAGTTCTAACCACCCAATCCTCTGTGTTGTCCCCTCTCTAGAATTACTTGGCTGATTCTGTTCGTCGCTGGATCGGCTTCACAGATCAAGGGACTGAAGGCGTCTGGCGCTGGGTGGACAATACTCCTGCAGCATTTACGTAAGCATGGGGCGATCCTCTGCTCTCCCCTTCCTGCCCCCAGCCTTCCCCAGCTGCCCCTGCTCCTGCAGGCGCTTTCCACCTCAGTAGCTCCAAGGCTGAGGCAGGGCCGCCCAGAGGATTCAGCGGCCGCGGGTCTTCGGGGCACTTCGGAGGCGGGTCCCGGAGCGGAAGGACCCCCCGCCACTGAATTGCCGCCGAAGACCAGGAGCGGAAGAAGCTCCGGGGGCCCGGGCCCAGCAACAGTTTTCTGGGGCCCCTGGAGCGAGTGAAGGTCCCTGCTCCAGGGGCCCCGAAAAACTCGTGGGGGACCCTGTGGGGCTTGGGGCAAATTGCCCCACTTGCCCCCCCCCTCCTCTGGACGGCCCTGGACTGAGGCCTGGGACAGAACCACTCGGGTTTGATTTCATGCCCTGACGACTGAATGACTCGAGCCTTTATCAGTCCCCCGCAGGTCCCTGGTTTGAATCTGGCCCAGGTCTGTAGCAACTACATGGCGTTGTTGCTGGGCGCCCTCACTATGAAATGACCTTGGAGGTTCTCAGCCCAGTTCACAGTGGGAAAAGCATCCACATATTGCACTGGGGGCTTGTCGGCCATCACAGCCGAGGGGCTGAGGACTGACCGTTCCAAGGCCTACAGAGGGGTCTCTCCAAGGCAGGGCAGGTCTGAGATCCCATGGGAAGGAGAAGTTTGTGCTGCCATAGCCTGTGTAGGTGGCAGCTTCTACCACTGATAACATGACATCCTCCACGGCATGGATGTGAACTGAGGGCCTGTAACAGTAACCTCCTGGCCCATTGGTTAGAGCCCTGCTGGCTCCCATTCCCGACTATCATAGAATATCAGGGTTGGAAGGGACCTCAAGAGGTCATCTAGTCCAACCCCCTGCTCAAAGCAGGACCAATCCCCAACTAAATCATCCCAGCCAGGGCTTTGTCAAGCCGGGAAAGCCACTCTGTCGTGCTGGCCTGCTGCGTGGCCTTGGGCAAGTCACTGCTCCGCTCTGGGACTCAGTTCCCCCTTCTGCAAAATGGCCAAATGATGCTTTGTAAAGTGCTTTTCTCTCCCCTGATGAAAGGTACTATCTACACGCTAGGCGTTATTGAGACAAAGGAGCAGCTCCATTAACTGGTAGTAGGTTGTTATCCTCTAGTGGACCAGTAACAAGGCCTGCTCTGCTAGCAGGTGACACTGTCCCCAGCCCTGCGTTCATTTGGATCATACAAAATAAAAACATCTGTCTGTTTGGAGGGGGATTTAATGAACCCCTGAGTTTTGGGGTGAAAATGCCACAAACCCCATTTCAGGGAGAGAGCAGCCTGCCTTCCTTGGAGGTCAAGTTGTTCACTCCTTTTCCTGATGCCCCTTCATGCAACTCCGGTCCCATCAAGGGGCCATAAAGGGAAAGTAATCTCTCATACGCACACTTGCCCAGGCTCAAGGGCCTGGAGAAGAGCAGAAAAGCCCCATACGTAGGGGTGAGGCTGGAGCATGGCTGGGCTTTGGCTATTTTTGGTTGCCCACAATGCCACAGGGGCCTGAGCATAAGTTAGACCAACCCTGAGGCTGCTCTAGGTTATGCTGGGGGGGAACCCGGTTACCAGGCAGCACATAGATGGGAGCATCTCAGCCGGAACCAGTGGCCCAGTGGCTTGAGGGATCTTCTCTTCCTTCCCTTTCAGGTTTTGGGCCCCAGGGGAGCCCAATAACATGTACAGTTTGAACGTCAGAGATGAGAACTGCGCCCACCTGCACGAGAACGGCCGGTGGAATGACGAGCCCTGCAACTTGCACTACAGGTGGATCTGCGAAAAAGCTGCTTCTGTCTAAATGGCCGGAGTCCCGCCCTTGCTCTGAGCACCGGCTGAAATGTACCTGGCCCACGAGGTGAACCGTTCCAGCCCCACACCAGTCCATTAGGGTTACCAGCTTTCTAACAGCACAAACTGAACACCCTTGCCCTGCCCCAACCCAGCCCTGAGGCTCCACTCACACAATCCCCCCTCCCTCCGCTGCTCGCTCTCCCCCACCCTCACTCACCTTCACCGGGCTGTGGCAGGGGGCTGGAGTGTGGGAGGGGGTGAGGGCTCCGGGTGGGGGTGCAAGCTCCAGGCTGTGGCCGAGGGGGTTGGGGGTGGGGGTGGGTGGAGGCTTCGGTTGGAGGTGCGGGCTCTGGGGTGGGGCCGGGGATGAGTGATTTGGGGTGCAGGAGGGGGATCAAGGCTAGGACAGGGGGCTGGGGTGCAGGAAGTGGTGCAGGCTCTGGGAGGAAGCAGTCCTGGGCTCCCCCCCACCCCACCCCCTTGCTGCCCCAACCCTGGGTTCTCCACCCACCCACACCCCCTGCTGCCCCAGCGCTGGGCTCCCCCCCACTAGTGCCTTCTGAAGGGGATATCTGGAGCAAAGCCTTCTACTCCTTGGGCACACTTGTTCCCCGTTCACAGTGCCCCTTTTGACTCACAGCAAGCTGCAGCATGGCTCAGCTACCTCACTCCCTCCCCCTCCCCTTCCTCTTGATAGCTGCCAAGAGATTTCTGGGAAATGTAGTTCTTTCCCTGCTCCAGGGCTGGCTCTATAGGCAGGGAACTAGGCAAGGAACTACAGCTCCCAGGGTCCCGTGGGTTCTCAGCTCCCATGCTGGATCCCCAGCTGCCCCGTGGCTCCGCTTCTGCAGGGTTGTGAGAGGGGAGGAAGTGAGTTAAAAAAAAAAAGGATGGCCCGAATGCCGCCCCCTGCAAATGTGCTGCCCCGAGCACCTGCTTGTTTTGCAGGTGCCTAGAGCCGGCCCTGGTGGTGGGGCAGGCAGGGCAGGGGGACAGAGGCAGTGGGGAAGGAAGCGGGTGGGATGGGGAGGAGATGGAGTGATGGGGAAGGGGCATAGGATGGGGCAGAGAAGGGGATAGGGGAAGCAGGGACAGGGAGAAAGAGGCAGTGGGGAAGGAAGGGGGTGGGAGGGGGAGGAGATGGAGTGGTGGGGAAGGGGCACGGGATGGGGAAGAGAAGGGGATAGGGCAGGGATCGGCAACCTTCGGTACGCGGCCTGCTAGGGTAAGCCCCCTGGCAGGCTGGGCTGGTTTGTTTTCCTACCCGTCCGCAGGTTCGGCCAATCGCGGCTCCCACTGGGTGCGGTTCGCCGCTCCAGGCCAATGGGGGGCTGCAGGATGAGGGATGTGCTGGCTGTGGCTTCTCGCAGCCCCCCATTGGCCTGGAGCAGCAAACCATGGCCAGTAGGAGCCGCAATCGGCCGAACCTGCGGACGCGGCAAGTAAACAAACCTGCCCGGCCTGCCAGGGAGCTTTCCCTGGTGGGCCGTGTGCCGAAGGTTGCCAATCCCTGGGATAAGGGAAATGGGGGCCCAGCATGCGGATCCCCTTGGCAGCAGCTGGGGCTCTCCCGTTAAGCAGGTCCATCAAACCCTCACCCTGACAAGCCCCATCTCCCCTCCATCTGTACCACCCCACTGAGCCCCCCCAGACACCCTCCCCACTGAGCCCCAACCACCTACACCTAGACCCCCACCCAAATGAACCCTGTAGATAAATCTCTTTATTAAGCATCTTCTCATAACTTTCATATGACTTTGTATTATGCCTCTTTATATAACCCTGTATTAAGCTATTTTCATACAACTTTGTATCAAGTCCTTTGATACAGGAACTTTGTATCACATCCCTATGTAGAAAAACTTATAGAAAACTTTGTGTTAAGCCTTGGTATAATGTTATAGCCCCTAAGGATAGTTAAAGTAGAAGAAAAATGTCTTTTTGCTAGGAGTAGAATAAGATCTCCCCACCCCCTTAATCAATTGCTGTGTTGAATGAATGAGGTGTGAATGAGGAAGGTGTGGAAGGCAGCACCTCCAGACAGCTAGTTGGAGCGGGGATGGAAGCCAGACCCAAGGACAATAAAACCTGACAAGTGGGCTCACTAAAGAAGAGCAGACATATTGACGGCTTTGGGGGTTAGAATCAAGCACCTTCTTTTGGAAACACCCTCTTTGAGCAGCATTGGGACAACACCCAGAAGGAAGCAGCACTAAGGACCAAGGAACACAGACCCGGATTTTGAAGCTGGTACAGATTTGCATGAGAGGGAAGCTGCTATAAAATGTGAGGTGTCTTGCAGAGGACCCCGGGTCTCGTCTTGTCAACATGGGAGCATCGATCCGGATCGGCAGAAGCCCGGCTCCACCCCTCCCCATCTAACTCATCTGGCCAGT